GTATTATTTACAGATAAATTTACTTAACTTTATCTTCATTTAAGATAATATAAAAAGTTATGTTACAGGTTTTTACAGGTTTGTTTACTAAAAAAATAGATACCCTAGAGCATAGCATAGTTGCCAGTACTATGACTACTATACTAGATAGTGCAGAAGCTAAACAATTAGATACTTAAAAAAATTAGATATCTTTGCTTTTTTTGCTGAAACATGAAACTATGAATATTTATTTTTTTATTGGTACATTTTAAATATACATAATGATAACATTTATCATAGGGAAGTTTTACATGTTATATCTTGCTTTTTTTCCCCCATTCCCCTTGCTGTGCAAAATATAGGAAAGAATATAAAGATGTTAAACATTCTCCTCTCCTAATTTTAAGGATATGAATATTATACAAATAAGAGGTAGATGCCATCTGTAGTCTTAAAATTGATTTTTAATGATCCAGTGGTAGTACAGATTGAATATCCCTTATCCAAAATGCTTGGAACCAGAGTGTTCAGGATTTTTAAAAATTATGGAATATTTGCATATACATACATATTAGGATATCCTGGGGATGGGACCCAAGTGTAAACATGAGATTCATTTATGTTTCATATGTAGCCCAATGGTAATTTTATGCATTTTTAAATAATTCTGTGCATGAAAGAAAGTTAGACAATGTGAAGTTTTTCACTTGTGGTGCCATGATAGCACTCAAAAAGTTGTGGATTTGGAATATTTCAGAGTTTGGATTTTTGGATTAAGGTTGTCCAACCCATATTACAAGTTGTAATTCTGCCTTCTAGAATGTATACCTTATATAAGTGTGCAAAAAGACCACATAATGTAGATGCTAAAATATGTATATTTACACCCTTATTTTTATGCATAGACATTTAAAAATGTTATGGAAAAATTTAAATTTTCATTTTACCCAGTTTTGGAAATTAACCTTTCTTTTTGTACTTCCAGGTGTGTCTGGTATCTGGTTCTGTTAACTTTAACATTTCTTGTAGTTCAGATCTGCTAATAAATTCTCTCGGCTTAAAATCTGAAAAGGTCTTCATTTCCAAGAAACATTTCCTAGTAGTAGAGATTCTAGGTCAATAGTTTGCATTTTGTTTTCCTTTCAGAAATTTAATCATTCCATTGTTTTCTATTTTGTATGGTTTCTATCAAGAATGTAATATGTCTTTTTTAAAAGTACCTCTGGCTGCCTTCAATATGAGCTTTGTATCTTTGATTTTTTCAACAGTTTGAATATAGGTACAGGGATGTGTGTATATATTTATCCTATAGTTCTTGGGTGGTCTATTCTGATTTTAAAATTTTCACTCTTTTTGTGTTTCTGTTAGTGTATTTGTTTGATCTTTTGTTGAGTTTAGTGATTCTTTCCTTCACTGTTTTAGTTTAACAATGAGCTTGAGAAAGACATTCTTTATTTCTCGTATATTTTTATTATTTTTAAAAAAAATTTAGCATTTTCTGACTTATCATTTCTATCTCTGTTAGCATTTGAGGGCTCAGGTTTCAGGCATAATTTTCTATGAACTTTGGTTTCCTCTTCTACAAAATAGAATGGATAAATGGATGTGTCCCCTTGGATGAGTCCTTTCCTGAGTCTCAGTCATTTTTATTAAATGTTTAAACTGCATGATTATTTTGATTCATAGCTCCTAAATTGTACAGTTCTTTGAAGGTAGAAAGACCTAATATTTATTGACACCCTTATTAATTTCACATAGACTCTTGGGATAAAATCACATTTAAAAAGTGTTTTTGCAAAATGTTTTACTTTGCTAGGTCTATGTGGAACTTTAATTGGAAGAAACATCATTAAACCCAGTTGCCACTTGGTTAAATCTATTAAAATCATTAAAATTTCTCAACTGTTGGGTTTCCTGATTCACTTGAGAAATTTCATGGCTCATAACATGTCTCACTCCCTCTCTTCACATTTATAAGATTTTGGATTATCTTCTTGGCTTCCAGATTTTTTAATGGGAGGAAACATTAATGGAGGGAATTATTCTTTACTGACAATTGTGAAGAAATAATAGTCTCATTGGAGTTGATGTTGGAGTCACAGACTTAGGTTCAAATCCTTGTTGCCCAACTGTAAAATTTTAGGCTGATTATTTAATTTCTGCGCCAGACTTCCCTTATTTGTGAAAAAGGGGTGATACTTACATCAGAGCACTATTTTGAAGGTATATGATAGTATATGTAAAGCTTTGGGTCTAGGGCCTACTTAATGGTAATTGACCACTGGTAGGATTAAAAATGATAGCTAAAATGAAATGTATCATCATTAATTAATTTTTCTTTTTAGTAAGTCTAAGGGGAAGGGAGAGTTAATATATTTTTTTTCTCCCTTTTCGTGGAAAGGGCCACCTGGTCAAAGGATATTTTAGCAATAGTGAAAGGATTTACTGAAAAGGGAATATTGATAAGGAATAATAACCAAGAATTAAGGGTTTACTAAGTGATAGATGCGCACATTATCTCTACACAGCCTGTGAAGTGAGTCTCTCCCAACCCCCATCAGGAAGCCTTTGTTGAACTGAGAGTGGTCACACTATCTTTTTGCTCTTGCACTCTGCTTTGGATTCTGACACTTTCTTATATGTAACCCGTACCACCTTCCCACTTGTCATTGGCTTTGAGAGATTCTTTATGTATTTGGCATAGAAGTGGCCCACCACAAATTGAATTGAATTCTTGAGACATTGACTCTATATTTTTCTTGTCAAGAGTGAAATTCCTCTTCCTTTATGTTATAGATGAAAATTTAAACATTAACAAACTGATTGTAGATTAAAAAATACTAAGAAAATAATTGTGGTTAAAGAAACTTCTGAGTCAATCTGAGGCTCCCTTCTCCTGCCATTCTTATTCTTTGTGAAGACAAATAAAGTATTTTAAAGTTGCTATTGCTTTATAAATTACCACAGAATAAATATAATGATTTTGAAGAGGTATCCAGAATCTGTGAGTAATTTTATTGTAATGGGCATTATTCAAGACTGAAATTATCTAATACAAAGAAACATTCTTTATTCACACTGTGGGCTACTGTCTTCTAAGATCCAGACCACAATTCAAACATTCTTATTTGAACAACACAAGGAATAATGTCAAATTATTTTGGAGTTGTTTTTCTTGTCATTACAGAAGTGCACTCTTGATCATAGATTTTTAGAGTTGGAGAAACCCAAGAGATACACTCTTAACTCCTTCCTGCCTCCCAGATAGATGAAGTGATTTATCTGGTCATGTAGCTAGCTAAATAATGACAGAGCCAGGAAGAGACCAGTCCCTTATCCTTTATGCCACAGTGCTGCATTCCTCTGGAAAAAAAAAAAAAACTTGCCTACTCATTCTTGGTTTTTAACGCTAGTGTCTTGGGACAAGGTTTTTTCCATGACTAACTAGTGCTCTTTTGTTTTCTTGTGTGGGTGTCTGGGAACAAGCTGAGTATTTTTGTTTTAACAATTGAACATATAAGGAAATAAGGAATTTGTCTGATTAATGCTTTAGAGGTCAGGAAGGAGTGGTTGTAACTCAGTTCTCTCCCCTTCATGTTGATTGTCAGCTATTTCAAAGTTGAGTTTCTTAACCTAGACTCTGAATTCCCTAAACACTTTTGAAAATGATGTGAATGTATGTTTATATTGTAAGAAAATAATCTACAGCTTTCATCAGATTATCAAGGGATATATATTGTAAAACTATTGTTTTAAAAGAGGAGAAAACTAAGCCTGATTGCACTCTCAGTACTAATTATACCAGAGGACTCCCTATGTCCAGCCCCCTTCTGCTGGTACCCTTTCCTACTGACAAGTTTTCCAGATAGCTTCCTGGATCTTGTCATAGAAGCCTCTAGAGGTCTCAGCCTTCCTGTTGCAGGAAACTTTTTCCCTAGTTTTCCCAAGGCTACCTTCTCCTTCCCTTTTGTGCCCTGTTTCTAGGACAGGGTGTAAGACTTAAGGAGTTTTTGTTCATTAGAAAGTTCACCAGTGTTACTTCAGTTACATTTTGGTTGAGAAGTATGTGTGAGCTGACCTGAGAACCTAAGACTATTGCAAATAAGAAAAAAATGCATTTGGAAGTTCAGTCAATACTTTGCAGATTAACTTTCAGAATGTCTCTAGTTCTTCAGTTAGGCAATCTGTGGTTTATCTAGAAGCTCTTTAATGAACATTTTTAAGAAGTAGAATGAAAATCCATAGATGGTGGTTTAGGAATTGCTCAGATAGTCCAGAAAAACTAAATTTTTCTTTCTTGAATTTTATTTGAATTAGAATCTGTGGCCAATAGGAAGTCATTTTGATAGGCTTCCTTTCCAGAAGAAAGCACATTCTAACAGAAAAACATATGTGTGTGTGTGTGTGTAAAATTTTAAATCTAGCACCTGGACACACAAAGAAAAAGCCAGCATAAGATTGAGATTGGAGGAGTTTGTTCACTTGTGAGTTTGTTCATTTTAAAAAGCCCTGAGAACACTTCATAAACCCTTAGGTGTTGTGTTAGATGTTTGGGAAATGAGGATGGCCTCTTCCAGTGTGAAGTCTGTAAATGGCCTCTTCCACTGTAAAGTCTGCTGGGGACACAGACTGACAACTAAGTATAACAATTCAGCATGTTAAACACTACAGTGGAAGTACCAAAAATGTAGTGATCTCAGTACTGTGCTTGGCCAGGAAGAAGTGGAGGAGTGGAGTCAATGGAGTGCTGGCCAAGGAAGTTAGGGTGAACTTCACCTAAAAGGTGACAAAATTAAAAGTTCTAGAAACCTGTCTGACAAAGAAGGAACCTAGGTATGATTGGTATATTCATGTCATTCTAATTTTAACTGAACTTAACATTTACTGTGCTCTTTTATTTTGTATTTTCCTTTTTTTTTTTTTGGTACTGGGGATTCAACTTGGGACCTTGCACCTGCAAGGCAGGGGGCGGAACCACTGAGCTAAATCCCCGGTCTTTATTTTGTATTTTCAATTAGAGCTCCAAACGAGAATGGAAGCCACTGGAAGACCGTAGCTGCACAGACATACCATGGCTACTGCTCTTTGTCCTCTTCTGCATTGGAATGGTAAGGAAATTTATGCATTACCTGAACCTAAGCTCATGATCTGAAGGAATGACTGGGAGTTGGTTTAAAAAGGGAGCTTGCTGTGTATTTGTACTTATATATTTTATCCCTCTTTTATTACTTTTAATTGGAAAGTATAAGATACCACTGAGACAGTTTATTTTCCCCTCAGTACAATTCAGTGGTATTTGATATTTTTCTTTAATATGAAAACTGAAATCAAAATTAAGCAAGTAGAACTCTTACTTCATTTACTAGATCATTTCTGAAAGCCAGATCAGTTACCATAAAGTTTTTGTTTATGAACCTAGGACCTTCACACTGAACTACTTCCCCACCCACCCCCCTTTTTTGAAAATTTTGAGACAGGGTCTCACTAAGTCTCTAAGTTGCCCAGGCTGGGTTCCAACTTGTAGTCCTTCTGCCTTAGTTTCTGAAGAGTGCTGGGATTACAGACATGCCCTACCATGCCCAAGTAACAGCAGTTTCTTTGAGCTGTTACCTTGATGGGGTGTTGAGCAGATCACTGGCCATGGAGTAGAAAATCTCAAGTATTTACCCAACCTACTCATACAAGCCCGATAGGTATCTGGGTCAGTGAGTTCTCCTCTCAAAAACTTAGTGTTTATATAAAATTAGATGTTTTGCTAGATGATATCTGTAATACTTCCAGTTCTGTTGTGTTTTAGTTCTTCTCAGTTAGGGGGTGGTTACTCCTTCTTCCTTCTGCCCATGCTAAACCCCTGCGGCTTTCTATGTGTGCTATAATGAATGGTGTCTCTCAGTTGGAGATCACAAGATGTGATTTTCTAGTGTATAAAAGATGTGGAACAGAGTCCTTGGTACAAGGAGCTGGGCATGTGCTTGTCCAGTGCCATGCTCTTTGTGCCTTGCCAGAGGTCCTGCTACATATGTCAGTGGCTTTGGAGTTACTACCTTCGTCATGGGCTGACAAAAAGATAAGCCAACACCCATTTTAAAGCTGTCTGGTGTTTAGAGGTAAAAAGGACTTGGAAATCTTCATGTGATCCATCACTCTCATTTTACAAACTAAAACATTCAACCCAGAGATGGAAATGACCATATCCAGGCCACACTGCTAGTTAATATCAGCACTGTGAACAGAGCTGTCTCTTCACTTGGGATAATGCTGTTTTCTGCTACTCTTTTTTTCTCAGGGGGATTTTGCAGATAAAGTATTGCCCTCTCAGTCTTCTGCAACTCAAAATGCAATTACACTGCTTTAGGCAGCCTTTGTCTTACCCAGGTGTATTTTTGACCCCCTTCTTCCCATACTTTTTGTAGACACTCTTTAGGAAAATCTTATTCTGTGCCTCCCTAAATGCCCACCTCGTAAGTCCCACCTGTTATTCACAGAACAACCATAATCTTGAGCAGTAGACAAAATTGTGGGTAACAGATCTGCCCTTGAACCAAGTAAAATAAATTTTAACACTATATAATAAATCCAGTAAAATAAGGAATGTTTGTTTTAAAGATAAAAGTGTAGTTTCATCCTATTTAGGATATTTAGAAAAGTTCAAAATACCCACTTCCTAACTTAGAAGATTTTGCTCAAGAATTAGTTTAATGGAATGGCAACTGAAATGCAGCATGCATGAATATTCATACAGAGTGTGGAAAAGATTCTTTGACAACAAAGGTAGGCTTTCCCCACCCCCTGAATTTAACCCTGGGGCAAATAGCAGCTGACCTTTCAAAATTATGTTTATAAAAAACATACACCATACCACCCAAGGTGTTTTTTATTTTCCCTGCTAAAATAGCTCAGGAAAGTGTAGACTTTAATATTAATAGACTGATTTGGGAATAACTTCAGAGTAAGGAGCTATTTGTTTACTGAAACATTTTAATGCAATAGTAATTAATATGATGTTGATTTCAGTACATGGTAATTAATACCTACTGTGTGTTCTTTTAAATGCAGGCATAGTGTTGTTTTGGAATGCTTCTTTTAATAGATTACTTACATAGAATTGCACCAATACCAAACTTTGCCATGTGAAAACTAAAGAAATCTCTTATACTGGCACAGAAGAGATTAAAAGTTTTTAAGCTTTTGAGTATTTGTTTTTAATGGCTTTTTTTAGAAGTTTTTTCTCTCCTTTGGATTTTATTCTGTAGTAAAATGTTGAGTATCTTTTATCTCAGATGCTTAGGGGGGTAAGTATTTCAGATTTGGATTTAAAAAAAATTGGAATATTTGCATTATATATAGTGAAGTATCTTGAAGATGGGACCCAAATCTAAACATTTATGTTTCATGTGTGTGCATAGCCTGAAGGTGATTTTATACTGTATTTTTACTCTGCCTGTATTTTCGCTGCAACTAATCAGATGAAGTCAGGTGTGGAATTGTCCATTTGTATCTCATGTTGGACCTCAAAAATTTCCAAAATTGAAGATTTTGGACTTTTGATTTTCAGAGTAGGGATGTACAGCCTATACTTTTGTTTTCAAAGTACTGGAGATTGAACCCACGACCTTCTCAAAGATCAACATTTCTATCCCTTTTTATTTTTATTTTAAGGGTAGATCTCAATAAATTGTCCAGGGTGGCCCTAAAACTTGTGATCGTTAGCTTCTTGAGTATCTGGGATTGTGAGCATGGCTCACCACACCTGGCATCAACCTGTACTCTTAAGGGACATTCAACAAACATTTGTTTCATATATATGTATATATATAAAATTTAATTCTCCCAAATACCCAGTAGGACAAATTTTGTTCCCAGCTTACAGACAAGGTATAGCAGTGTTAAAAATTAGTTTGTCTAGTAAGTGGCAAAGATAAAATAGGACTGTACCTTTCTAATTGTGTTCCTTCCATCTACTGTTCTAGCAGCCTGTTTATACAGACTATTTCTAAACTTGCTGCTTGATGTTCAAACCATACCTTTATTTTGTCTGTGTCTTTTCTTGTAGTTCTTTGCTCATTCATTGATACCAGTGTTGTAGCTCTTAAATTTTTAAGATCTTATCTTTCATTCATCTTTATCATTAGATCTTTATTTACATATATCCATCTCTTTATCATTATTTTTACTACTTTATTATTCCCTTACTTTCAGGGTTTTTCTGTGCTTGAATTGTCTGCAACCTAGGGTATTTTCTAAAATAAATTGTTATCAGCCTTCTTGAAAGCTGTTATATTTGAACTTTCATATTTGAACTTTTGTCAATATTTTGAAATTAGTGGATATATACTTACCTACTCTAAGAAATTACCTGTAGCATTGCACTTCAGATTTTCTATTTTCAATTAAAGTAGTAAGCATGTGGTTCTCAATGATAGCTGTGCTGGAATATTAAAAAAATCATTCCTTGGTTCCCCTCAGTGATTATGATATAGTCTCTGCAATTCTGATGTTTAGCCAAGGTGCAGAGTGTCTGTTTTAAGAACTCTGATGAGGCACAAAAAAATGTCAACTGACAAGTAACATGACTGAGTTTAGAAAGATGGCAGCCAGTGTTAAGTTTGGCTTGGAATGGGAAAGAGATTTTAGCACACCACTTTGGAGGTTGAGGCAATTGTTGAGGTAATAGTACTACTACTTAAAATAGTACTAAACAAAAGGAGATAGATTGAGGAAATAGGATCAGTAACATTTATCAGTAATTATCATTGTTGCAGGCAAGCAAAAGACAGATCAAGTTTGACTATGAGGTTTTTATGTGAGGGGTTCAGGGTAGAGATTTTCAGCTCAAATCCTACTCCGGATTTTCCTGGGTTCACACCGATGGGAACACATCAGGGAACAAGAGTGAGATGGTCAAATTATTGGTAGCTGAGCAGGCACCTGATAATGCCCAATAAAATACTTAACAGTAATAATGACTTGGATCATGCCAACTGAAGTTCCTTCCTATCTAGGATAGTCTTCATTCTTTCTCAGGAAGAGGAATGTTTGGCAAGAGAGGAAGAAAGAATAGGCATCTATCTAGATTTCTCTGTCCAGATAAGCTTACCACAGAAAGGCAGGAAAGACAGGAGACTGGAGGCCCTAACAGGAGTGACTATGGGAAAAAGTCATTGCTGATTACTGTGGGTAGGATACTTACTGTTCTTAGCACATGTCACTTAGATACTCATTTAATTCTCACAGCTACTCAAGGAAGTATATGCTGTTGTTATCATCTTCCCCATTTTACTGATTAGGAAAGAGGTGTAGAGATATGTCCAATGATTTCCTAAGATTTCACAGTGGCCAGATTGATCCTAGGACAGAAGAGGAAGAAGGCCTCAAGAGCAACCCCTCTTTGTTGCTTTTGTGATTTAGAACTTAAAATGTGATCTCATTAATGTCTCAGACTCTGACTAAATAGCTTAGTGTTATGTTCTCCTGTAGTGTGTGGTGTTATGAAATTTGGGTGAGGGGCAGAAATGGAGAGAAGAGACCAAAGAATCCTCCCTCCCTGTGTCTTTTGTGTAGTCTACTAGATAATGCTACTACTAATAGAGTATATGCAGGCAAGGGAAACGGTTTGGGGAAATGTAGAATGAACATGTAGAATTTATGGATGAGGATAAACTGGAAATTCAGGGTTGAAATTTTTGAAGAATGATCTTGATTAAAACTAGTTTGGGAGACATTGAATAGGTTGTCCCTTCAGACTGCTTTCAAGGACCTTTTTATTTTATAGCATTAGTCTAGTTCCTGGGGCATGATGTTTCTACCTCATTAACTGCGATTGAGTGTGCAGCACAAAGTGAGAGATTCACTGCAGTATTTAGTCACCTGTTTGATGGTCTGTTCTTTGCTAGAATCTTAGAACAGAAAGAACAGCATGCCAAAAATTACTGACTGTAAGGTTACTTGAGCCAAAGAACTACCCACTTTTTGTTAAGTCCATTTCTTTTTTTTCTTTTTGTGAAACATACATAGCATACAAGTTAGTGTTTTAACCATTTTCAGGTATACAATTCATTTAAATCTATTTGTTCTTAATCTACTCTTGTTTTTTTTTTCCTCAGTCACTGTAGTAAGCTGAGTTTATACTTCTCCTTGCAAGTATGCTCTTTAAAATCTTGCTATGTATCACTTTTCCCTTGGAATCATACCATTTTGGAAGAGAAATGGCCTTAGAGATTAACCTAATCCTTTGGACCAGTAAGGAAATAGGCTCAGAGAATTCCATTGTCTGCCTATGATCATAAGCCTCCCATTTGAGGCAAAGCCAGATCAGTTCTCAGTATTCTTTTCCATGTTTTGTTATTGTTGTTGTTGTTTGTTTTTTCTTTGTTGTAGCTGTCCATGAAACTTGAGCCTTTCAGCTTTTGCCCCTTCATGCCCCATTATTTTTTTATTTTTTGAGAATGTTTCCCTTCTTTTAAGGTCTTTCAGGGTAAGCCCTGAATTTGTATATGCTCACTAAATGCTTAGTGAGTAGATATTTCCTAGACTTAAGTTATTTTGTTTTATTCTTCTTTCCTTATTTTAGAGAAGTGCATTCTATTAAACCTTAAGGGAATCCAGAAATTTGGTACACTGGCAAAATATTTATTTATTGTTTGTTTGTTTGTTTGATGGTATAAACATTAGTTCTGCACCAAGCCTACTAATCTTACCTGTTGTTACCTTAATACCTTCTTTGTTTCAGAATTCTTAGAAAAGAAGGAACAGAAGTCAAATGTTACCCTAAGATTTTACAAATCAGTTATTAGGAGATTGACTCCAAGCATGATTAAGATGTATATAGAGGTAAATGAGATTGAGAAAAAGATCGCCAGGAAATGTTTTTATTAATCCCTGGGAGATGACTATAACCATCATTCATTCCATCCCCATCTTTTTATTTTGAAACATTTTATCACATTCACATACTACAATACTTCATATCCCCCACACATGTTTTTGTTGATGTCCCCACCAAAAAGCCATCTTCCTTGTGAGTTGCTTGCTCTAGGTATGAAATTCAAACATGCTGGTGCAATAAAAAGTATGTCTTAGTTTTTGATTAATCATGAATGAAATTAAGCCAAAGCTGTTACGTAGAAATAGACTTTATGATAGGAAGAGAAAATAAGTGTAGTTTCTTAATTAGCAAATTGTCTTTTTCCCCACTTAAGGCAGTAAGTGCTTACTACTTGCCCGGTCTTGACTATGATCCACCATCCCTCTATACCTTTATCTGATTTGAGTCACCTCTGTTTGTGAGTGGCTTTTTCTGCTCCTCTTCTCCGTCTTACAGCAGCAGTGCTGAAAGCACTTCAGTAGCTCAGTCATTTTAAGATTTTAGCCATGGTTCCCTTACCTACTAATAGGCTTACTTTCTCACTAGAGATTGCTTCTTACTCTATCCTTATAAAAGCTTTCTTCATCATCCTTTTCATTTGCCTCATTAATGTGATTTCCTTCTCTATGTGGAACTATTAAATTATTGTATTTAGTAAAGTTTTCTCACCCTATTTTAATTTTATGTACTGAATTTTTTTCTCTTCTTTTGAAACTGTATTGCTTCCTGCATTTGGATTTTAGCAATTTCCTTTTTAAGGAGATTGTAATTTTAATTACATTTGGCCAAGTTCCCCACTGTCAATGTTTGTACCATATGGAAAGTCCCTACGATAGCAGTCATGGTTTCTTCCCATCTTATTAGCTTACTATTTTCTTTTCTTCCTCCTACAGCTTCTCATCTTCTCTAATATATCTGGAAGTTTAAGTGATCTATGTGAAATATATCAGTGTCCCATTTTAGCATACATATGTGACATTTATAATTTATACCCTGCCTTCATCCCAGAGGAATAGGAGGTGGCTTATGATAAAGAAAAAAATTCACATGTCCAACTGTACTGTTAAAAATAGCCAGAAAGGAAAACCAGAAATTTTTTAAAGGAATTGGTAATACAGTATACTTATCAAATATAAGAAAAAATTCCTTTGAAAAATGAAAGAAGAACATAACCTTTTAATTATGTAACAGCTCTGCTATTCTACACTAGTAATGAAAGAAGATTGTAATTGTGGTCTGGAATTATTTTTGTATAATGACAATTACTGACATGGTTTCTCACTTTGTCCCCCAGAAATTTTGTTCTAAAACAGAAAATTAAAGGTTATTTTTTTTCAGTCTCCAATTACCATTGCTAACCTTTTTAGTTAGACTTTTGCATTCAGATTTACCACTAACAGCTACCATTTATTGATCACTTGCCATGTAGCAGACATTCAGCTAGGAATTGGATACAAATTATCTCATTTAGTCTTCATCATTAAGCTGTGAGATAGATGGCATTACTCTGTGTTAGGGATGAAGAGGGAGCAGACTCTGAGGAGGTAATTGGATCAAAGTTGCACAGGTAGTAAGTGATAAGTTTGAATCTAGGCCTTACTGAATACTAAGTCTGTTCTCTTTCTATTACTCTATGGTGTTTCCTATTAAAGAAATACATTAGAAAGTGTGTTAGTCCATCTTCCATTACTATAACAAATAACCCGAGCTAGTAAACTTATAAAAAGAAATGGTTTATTTGACTCAGTTTTGGAGGTTTCAGAACATGACTGGTTGGGTCCATTGCTTTTGGTCCTGGAATGACACATTGTGGTAAAAGCACATGATGGAGCAAAAACACTCGCTTCATGGCTGGAAAGTCAAAGAGAGGAAAGGATGGGACCAAGGTTCCACAGAGCCCTATAAGGGCATGTGCCCACTGTCCCGAACATCTCCCACTAGGTCTACCTCTTAAAGGTTCTACTGCCTCCTAATACCAGCATGGGCTGGGGACCAAGGCTTTAACACAGGGACCTGTGGGGGCCATTCCAGATCCAAACTACAGCAGAAAGTTAGCTATTAAAACCTCCTAATATTTATCTTTCTTTCTAGGTTTTGCTCAGTGCAGGGTTTCCTACTTATGAGTTCAAGCATATGTTTAAAATGGTATGCTGGTTTGGTTTGCACATATTGGGTTGAAATTCTGAGGTGGGACTGATTGCCCTACACTGTCTTTGAAAGAGTCAGGAGGAAGAGAGGCAATAGGGGAATGTAAATGAGTAAGTACTAACCTGAACCTTCTTTGTGTTGACCCTAGTGCTTCAAGTTAGCTGTTGCTTTGAGGCAGAAGAGTACTAACATTTATTGAGATATGTAATTGTGTTATCTCATGCAATTCTCACACCAGCCTCTGTGTAAGTGGGTTTAGCCCCAACTTATAGATGGCTAAACTGAAGCACCGAGCATTAAGCAAGTTTGTCTAAGGTCACACAAGCAGAAAATGGAGTTGTCAGTATTCTGTTGCTAACACAGATTTATCTGAACCCAAAGCTCATAGTCTCACAAAGTGTATTATAAGAAGCTTCTACTGACTAGAGCTATGCTCTCTTCTTCTCTCTTACCTTTCTTACCTGCACAATGAAAGTAGAAGGGTTGTTTATAAAAAAGGGTTTGGCTTTTTAGGTAAGTATACTTGAGGGTGAAATACTATTCTCTGAGGGACTGCATGTTAGTATAGTATTTACTACTGTAGCCTGAGAGTCAGCAGCACTCTTTAGATTAAGAACTACTTATGATAGCTGGCTGTGATCAGTTAAACAGTGATAATCTCTGTATTCCTAGCCACTTAGCCCTTTTAATGACTACTTTGCACAGCATTTCTTGACCTCAATCTTTCCCCCTAATCCAACCAGTTTATCAGTAGTGATTCACCTTACTTCTGGTTATGATGCCCAGTAACCTGAGATTGAGTGTAGGTTTGCATTGCTTTATTTTGGTCAGCGCATAGTTGACTTGGCAAGCATGATGTGGTCTTGAGGTATCTACCATTTCCCTCTGCCACTGGGATGAAGCGTATTCCCATGAAATGAAATGACCTTTGCAGTACACAAAGCGAGTTCCTCACTTACTCTCCTTTAGGCTCCAGGATTAAGAGCGTGACAGTGCTTCATGATGTAATTCTTTGGCTTATATACAGCTTCATTGCAGGGAGGAAACAAAAGTGTTGTGTGCACTGAAGTGATAATGATTCCAAACCAGCATACCTATTGTTCTTCAGATTTTTTTTTTTATCCTCTGCTATTGTTTATTTAACGGAATCCCTTTAAGCAAATAAAACTAAGAGTGAAGAAAGCTGGGGTTGATCTATGCTCTGATCTCTACTAGTTTCTGAGGCCTTAGATAACTTACTTAACATCTCTGCACCTCAGTTTCCTCATCATGAGGATTAGAGATAATATATGATAAGGACTCAGTTCAGAGGCTGGCACAGAACAGCTGTTCAATGTAGAGAAGCTGGTTTTATTATTATTATAAAATGCAAAGACAATCTTATGATCTAAAAGCTTGGGACCTGTTTTGTTATAGTAGTAAATAGTATTCCCCTGTGGACTTCTTTGTGCTGCTCATATGCAATCCAAGGAAAACAGTGGAATAGTGTTCACAATAAGGAAAGATAGCTCTTTGTTCCCTTCAACAGACAAAAAGCTCATTATTGTATCAATTAGTGACTGTTGCTATTGAAGTGGTTTATTTGTGTTTGTTTTTTTTTTCTGTTTCTTTCCTAGGGATTTATTTGTGGCTTTTCAGTAGCAACAGGTGCAGCAGCGAGACTAGTGTCAGGATACGACAGCTATGGAAATATCTGTGGGCAGAAAAATGCAAAGTTGGAAGCAATACCAAACAGTGGCATGGACCACACCCACCAGAAGTGAGTAGACTTTTGCTGAATGTTGACCAGTATGGAAACTTTGAAGGAGGCGCAGAGAAAATTCTGCTTTCCTTACTGCTTTAAAGATAATATTTACTGATTATTTTTATATGACTTCTGTTGGTGTTTTTTGTTTGTGTTTTTAAAACTGTGTACTTGAATCTTGCCTGTTTTCTTTGAACAAATACATCCTCCAGGAAACAAAATTAGCTGCCATCTTAAATGGGCTACCTTGAGGTTTTAATGGGTAAATGCTTGATTTAGGAGGATTACTCTTGTACCCTGCTAACCTTCATGTGTGTACTAAATTTTAACCCAGAAACTAACATAGTATTTTCTTCCAAAGATTATACATGATGGGAGACAGAGGGATGATAATGGATATTGGAACATTAAAGTTACAAAGTAACATTATATGATGCATCATTTATGAGTACACATCAATTTCCAGTTTTATAGAAGATACATTTTCCTTGTCAGACTGGAAAACTTGTTTTGGGTTCTCAATATTCATCTTTTGGATTTCATGAAATTCCTAACTTAATTGCTTTTTTCTTCAAGAGAGCTATTATTTCATTTTTAATGTCTGTGGAGGAACTGTATTTAATCTAATATCTTTCATGTATGATACCAATATAATTGTTAAAACTGTATATTCATACTCCATCAAACTTTGTTAGAATATTGTAAATACCAAACCAGGTCTTCAGAATTAACAAAATTAACTTTAAGGTAACAGTAATACTTTATAGGTAAGAGCTAAACAGATAAAAACATTTTTAGGTTATATCAAGCATTTTCTAGGGAGGCAATTTATAATTGCTCTATTTATTATTTTATAAATATGTTGGTTAAATCAGCCTCTGTAAGATTAATTTGGGTATTTCACAAACTTAAATCCAAATAAACACCCCTTCTTAATAAAGAAGAAATAATTCAGTTCAAGTAAACAAAAATTTTAAATAACAATAATGAATTATCTGTGTAGTATGCCACAGATGACAAGCAGCACATACCACCTTATGAGGGAGGTGTAACAGAGGCTTAGCAAGACAGAAGGACTTTCCAAGTTCATGTGGCTGGTGAATACCAGAACATCCAAGACAGACTCCTAGCTTCTCTCTTGATGTGCACCTGCATCCCTCCAGAAAAAGGAAAATTGGATGTTTAGCAGTTTGAAGAATTGTTTGACTTATTTTCCTTTATGATTGTCTCATGAAATTAACACAGTTTATATTTCATGTTATTTCTTGTAGCAAGACTACATAGATCTTTTGTTTACTCTTTATTTTCAAATAGTTTTGGATGCAGAAGTTGGCAAAAATAGTAGAGTTCTGGGTTTTTTTTCTTTTTTTAGGTAGCATCTATGCTACAAAATATTGTTTGACTCTTTCATGCTGTTGAAATATTATTATTTACAAAATTGAAGAGATATGAGAAAAAGGGTTATGTTCCTTTAGGTCCACTGATGACATATATTGAAATCATTTTTATGGTTTTCTTTATAACTTGGTAATGACTTCAAGCATAGCCTCATCCTAAGGTTTGTGTAAGTGCCTCTCTTGACATTTAACCTTACGGTGATTCAGGCCAGTGAAGCAATTCTTGGATTATTCTATGCATATTCAGACCTCTTGCAAAGAACTGCATATTGTTTTGAGAAAATAGTTATTTTTCTCTGACTGCTTAGCACAGTTGAAAGCCATTCTTGTATAAGGAAAATACTTTCCCAAGTATAGCTCTTCTTTACGTTTAAAATTTATTTCTGATCTCTACTTCTTTTTTGCCTTATCAGCTTTTTAGGGCTAACCCATCTGCATGTAAATGATAATTATTTTCAATGAATATTATATTTTTTTTGAACATACTTTTTCAGGTAAGTCTGTGTTTGGATTTGGATGGCTGCAGTCTTTATGATTGTTATCTTTATTTCATCTTCTTTCTCTTTCCAAATACCTTGGCTTTCTTCTACATTTCTCTGTCCTTCCTTTGACTTCATTATGATCTCCAGGCCCATCCATAGCTAAGTGTTTTTATACCTGTTTGTATGCTGTTACTTCAGCCTTTGATCATTGTCTCAAAGTCCTTATCTGCAGCCCTATTACAGTATTTACTTGGATTTCCATTCATATTTGTTGAATAAGTCAATGAATGAATCCTCTAAAATACTGGGTGCAACCTATTCCCTCTTTCCTTCATGAGTATTGTTTCCTGTATTAGAAAAAATAAAACTCCTTTTATTCTTCAAATAGCCAAATTCTATTCATCCTCTACCTCTCAGCATAATTGTTCTTCCCAGGGAGGTTTTCTTTGATCTCACAATTTAAACAAGATATTTAAAAGTACTTTCTCATTGTGTCCTGTAATATATGTGATTATATATTTATGTTTTGATAATTTGTACAATATATGTCTCTAAGTTTGGGGGTGTACCTCAGAGATAGAGCTCCTGCTTAACATGTGCAAGTTGCTGGATTCATCCCCAGCATTGAGGGAGGAGAAAGAAAAAAGTGTATCTCTCCTAAGAGAGGCAGTGAAGCCTGTTTTATTCACTGCCATATCTCCAGGACCCATGTCAACACCTGGAACATTGTAGCTACTCATTCATACTGAATAGGTAAATAAATTTATTTCAGGAGTGTGCTTATGATGTAGAAATTACTGAATTGAAGATCTGAATATTTTATGATTATTAATATATATTGTTGAATGGATTTCCATAAAGCTTTTTCCATTTATATGCCCACCAACAGTGTCTGAGATTGCTTTATCTTTGTTAGTATTGTTAGTATTTTTTTTCACCAATTTGATAGACTAAAGAATGGTGCTTTATAGTTTTGATTTTCATGTCTTTGATTATTAATGAGTGTGAACCTTTTTTTTCCCCTACATGTTAGCCTCTCAGGAAGACTGTTGTGCTAGCATGTCTCTTCTTGGTCTTCTTATCTCTAATCTGCTCCATCCTTTACATTGTGATAAGATTAAATTCTTTAAAATAGGGCTTTTATTTTGTTCCCTCCCTATTCCAGAGTCTTTCCTTTTGTGCTGCTGTCTATAGCAGTGATGGTGAACCTTTTAGAGATTCAATAATACAAACAGCCCCTTTCAGCATGCGTGCTGTAGGTTTGCCACCACTGGTCTGTAGTATCAGAGATGAGCCCACTTAGCCCCTGCCATTTTAGGCATTCCTCAGTCTATACTCCTCTATATCTAGTCCTCTCTGTCACTATTCTTCAGGATGGTATTATTATTGTCTATGATATTCAGTTGATTCTCTCTCTGTGTTATTCCTTCTGCCCATCTGCCAATCTGAATCTTTGAAGCACTTAAAAAGGGTCTCATAACTAGCCTTTTTATGATATGTTTCAAAACTAACCTTATCTCATAGTGAACTCTTTTACTTTGATTACCTAAATTTTCCTACCGTGTTCTCATTATTCAATTTACTCTCTAATTATACTGTGTAGATTCTCATCTGTCTGTATTAATTATTGGTTCTTAGATAACAATAGTACCATAAACTTTGTGGCTTACCAGGAGATGCATTTATCATTTCTGTTCCCATGGGTCAGGAATCTGGATGTGGCTACCCTGGGTCTTCAGCTTCAGAGCCTCTGCCCAGGCTGCATACCAGATGTAGGAGGGGATTGAGATTATGTCTGAGGTTCAGTGGGTGAAGGGTCCTCTTCCAGGCTCAAGTGGGTGTTGGCAGCATACAGTTCCCTAAGGATTGTTGGACCAAGAGCATGAGCTTTATGCTGGCTGCTACTGGAGTCTACCCTCGCTGCCAGCCCCATGAGCCTTTCCATATGGCAATTTAAGGTCCATCAGAGCCAACATATGAGAGGATCAGTAGAGAACTGATAGAAACTTGGAAGTTGCAATCCTACTACCAATGTAATCACAGAAGTGATAACTGTCTTTGCAGGTCCCACCCAAACTCAAGGAAAGAAGATTATGCAAGGCTGTGGACACTGAAAGCAGGGAGAACAGAGGTGTCTTACAGTCTGTGCACCCTCTGCCGAATTCCATCTCCTGAAAACACCATGTTTTCTTTAAGTCCTGAGTTTGAGCACCAGCAGCTCCTTAATAAGGACATTTTTAATTGTAATAAGGAGAGGAAGAAAGAGAAATCGAAGGGAGAACACTTTTGACCTATTTTAACCAGAATGTTTAAGATGCCAACATGACTCTAAGAATTCCATTAGTAGTAAAGAAAAAGTGTTTTATTCCCTTATATTATTTCATTTGTAATGTGTTCTTTTTCTCCATGTAATATTTTTGAAATGATAGTATATTTGCTTCAGTAATAAGGGTACATAGGATAATGATAGACAGGGTTTTTTGGTTTTTGTTTTTTTTTTTTGGTACCAGGGATCAAACTCGGGTCCTTGTGCTTTCGAGGCAGGTGGCAGAACCACTGAGCTAAATCCCCAGCCTTATAGACAGTGTTTTATGAAATATTCAAAAGCCTCAATTCCAAATACATTAAGTTAATTTTTAAGTTGGCTACTTGAGACATTTAAAACTTTTCTGCGTAGAAACAAAGCTATAGCTAAGGTTCTAAGGCTGGGTCAACTCAGAAATGCTCATTTATCTTAGAACCAAGAAGTGCTAGAGATTAAGAAATTTATAAGTTATTTAATGTACAACCTCCTTAAAGCATTGTATGAAATATTTATAAGTGCCAACTAAAACCCCAAAAGGAGAATGACTTGCTTGATAGGTGAGCTATGGTGGTAGTAATACTCCAGAACATGGATAGGGTTTATAGCTATTTTCTCACTGGTGGGAAGTGGGGTGGTGGTAATATAGTAATACTTTGGTTCATGAGCTTAATTCTTTCCACAATTCTGGTTGCAAACCAAATTGGACAAGAACCAAATCAAATTCAATGGTTAGGTTCAATGTTGACCTTTTGGGGAAATTTGACTCTGTTCTTATCCAATTTGGTTTGCAGCCAAAATCATGGAAAGAATTAATTTTGTGAACCAAGGTAC